TTGATAACTCTTGACCTTAGAATTTACCTGTTGTAGTCTGAGAGTCTAAAGATAAGTCAGCAGTTAGGTAAGTTAAGTCAAACCAGCTCTCATAGAACAATCTGTTTATGCATTGTTTTGCTTGATGTCCTTAGTTGGCGACTCTTTTAAGCCCAGTGCCTCTGAATCCAGTAAACCTGCAGACTGGACATACTACGTCATTAAATGGACCATCACCAGCAGGTAATAAATACTGCAGCCCCCCTAACTTTCATGGAGATACGTTTTCCTTGTTAGAACTTAAGGGCTTTACATAAATGGCTGCTAAACGCCAGGAGCAGCAACAAACATTGACAGAATCTCAGAATCTCACATTGCTCGTGGCTTCTCGTAGACATGTCTGGCCATTTCAGCGTTTAAAGCATCTAGATACATAGGAGATAATCTGCTACTTTCAGGAAGATACAGAAAAGTAAGGTGCAGTAAGCATGCTTTTCATTTCCATTTAAATCTGGATTTGTCTGCCTGTCTTTACTCTTCAGCTGCATCAAAGAACAAGTTGCAGTCACCTCACTACTACGAGATAATGGAATTTGATCCCTTGGCTCCCACTGAGTAAGTAACTTGTAAAATAGGTAATATACAGTTTTGTTACGTGCCAAAGGCAAGAAGGCTTCCGAGATGGCTTTTTCTTCTGAGTGAAAAAACAGACCACACTATTGAGACTGAGTTAGCTGACCAACTCGATTGCTAATGTAAATGAGAGTGGCTGCGTTCTGTACGCTTTCTTCCAATATTTCTGGCATAACCAATTAAGGAATAAACTCCTCTAGTGTGTTCATTGAACAGCATCTGTAAAAATGGCGGAGGAACGCCGTGTCAAAAACAATCTGCTAAAATCCTATTCAGTGATAGGAAAAGGTGGATAAAACACGGTAAGGGTTGTGGTGGAGGAAGCTGATGGGCACTCCAGCACAGGTAGTTCTGGAGCAAGGTGACCATAGTGATTGCTGTGAACAGGAATTACGATTTTTAAGAATGTTGTTCTACTGCAGATTGAGAAAATCCTCAATTTAAATATAAGCTACAAAAGGGAATGGATGCTGGGGCTCTCCAGAGGGCCAAATAGTTAGACAGAAAACTAAGACAAAACTAAACGGATGGCAGAATTCTCCTTTCTACCAGTAAGTTGCAAAAAATTTGAGCCATCTACACAAAATTTATTTTTGAGGAACCATCGAATTCTGAGGTAGAAAAATCTCAACAAAGCTTTATTTTTTTTTTTTTACTAGCACAGTAATTGCATGCCACGTGGTATGCTTGCCGTTTGCTTTTTGCAGTCCTGTTCCCAAACTTATGTCATCAAAAGTGACAATGTCCAGAGGTATCATTAAATGTATAATCATAGACACACCACAGGATCGGCTCTTTGTTTCCATGGAAACCTGGGCATCCTGCAACTGATGCTACTCTGTTAGGCAAACACTGGCAGTTCGTGCTTGGGAAGGATTTCATTGGCGCGTTTTGTCAAAATGAAACAACTGTGATGTAGGAGTCGCCCTGTTCCTCTTCTTTCAGAGCTGTTTATGAAGAAATCGATGTCGTGCTGAAGACAGAAGTTAAAAAGGATACAGAATGCTGAAGGTGGAGGTGAAATCTTTCACTGAACACACGGTATTCTCTGATGTTGGTCCTGTGCGGTGCTTCCTAGAATACACAAGTGAATAACAGAACAGGCTTTATGTTTTGACACAAGAAACAAGAAGTATTGGAATAGTAAGCTGTGTGGAAGTTGAAGAGTTACTTGGATCTACACCTTGATAGTTTGTCCTAAATGTTCAACGGTGCGTTCTTCAAGGTGTGACTTGCATGATTATTTTTAAAGTATTTTGGGGGCCTTTAAAATATGATTTCCAAATTCACCTGCGTATGAAGTTAACACTTGACACCTGACACAAGTAAACAAAAAGGACTCTTGCAACTGTAGAAGAAAGCTTTTCTTCCAAGTTAACTGTTCTTTTGTATTGCTTTACCCCATTATGCAGCAAACAAAACAACGTTCTGTTTACAGAAATTGCAGAATCCAATTTCTATTTTGGCCTTGTTGCCGTCTGTGTTAATCTCCCCAGAAATTTATAAGGGGGTTTTGGTTTTCTAAAATTGGCCCTCTTGATAGATGTCTGAAGACATACGGTGTTACTTTCCTACATTCATATCCTAAATACAGATTTTGTTTTCTTCCTAAAAGCCCGCAATATAGTTGGATTTTTGTCTTGGTAGGAACCTGATCTGGGCCATGAGGTGCTGTCATCTGTGCTTAACAGAACAGAAGAAACCCTGCTTGTTCCTCTGTTGTTGTTGTTGCTTTTATTTACTCAGTAAATATTGGAGGGGGTTCAGTCATTTCTCGCAATGTTCCTGCCCTGCAGAGATTGCTGTTCTGGTGAAGGAAAAAAATAATTATCTACAATGCAGATGAGCAATAGTTATCCATTTATTTTAATCAAGTTGTTTAACCCTGTTAATAACAGTTTTATCTTTTAATAATTAAAGTGCCTTATCTATTTTAGTGCCGAATGTAAAATGTGCACTTTAACAGCTATAGTTCTCTGAATTTATAATTGATATAAACTTTGAGAACTTGGTTCATGTTCATAGCTGATAAGCTAATGTTTTGTGAAATACTGCATTTTACATGTTCATTATGTTAACGGTTTAAGTGATAAAAAGTTCTCAGTCTGTTATGCATTTTTTGTAGCATAAAATTCCAAATAAAAGCAAACATTTACTGAAAGGTTAACCCCCATCACTTCTGAGTTTTTACCAGATGACATGCGTATTCCGTGAAATACCGAATGCAGATAGGATTGGAAGTATTTGAGAGTGGATCCGTGGCGTTTCATTGCATGGTTAGCAATTTTGCAGCTAGGGCCATTGGAACACGTCTCTTCTATCAAAAAGACAACCTTGAAGTTTGGGGCTTTTTGTAAGCAGAGGTGAAAAGGTAAGCTGCTTGATTAGTATTTTGCATGTATTATTTGCAATGGTCTGAACAGCAGCCTGAGAAAACTGCTGAAAACAGGATTTGAGGTGGATTGGTTTTTCCTTACACCTTAGTAAAAAGTTAAACCCCAGTTAAAAGTTAAAACCCTAGCACGCCGAGGTGTAACAAATTGAAATAGGCTATTTCAATATGGTAATCCGTAAAGGATGATTGCTAACTGAACTTTTCCGTATTTAGAGAAGCAAAATGGTCACAGATAGATGAAAGCTCTGAAGGGAACTGGCTGATTACGGAGGTTAGAGAGCTGGGTTTATGGTTGGAATGTGCTCAGCATCTGTGCAAGCTTGGGCTTTCAAACTCGGGGGGGAAACCCCCCTTTTTATGAAACTGGCACTGGCCAGAAGAAAGCAACGTGCGGAAAACTCCCATCATCAGTTCAGCTTTCAAGAAGGCAATGGACTAAAGACAACCCAGGTAAGAATTTTTTTTTTTTTTTCCTGGCCTGGATTCAAAGACTTGTCTTCATATTTTTTTTTTTTTTTTCTGAAGCATAACTGGAATTACAAATGATAAAGCTTGCTGTTATCTTCATACAGATGTATTTCACTTGTGTGGGCTCCACACGTTCTGCTGGATAGAATGCATTGGGAGAGATGAAAGAAGGAAAAGTTTTAAAACTTTAATAAATACACAGTGAAGACGTGACATGAATGTCATCCAGAATCTATTTAAAGAACACATATAACTGGTACAATAACACATTTTAAAGGTAGCATTCATTTATTTTCAAAAAAGCACTTTCTAAATTATGGTATGGAAATATAATTGAGACTGAAGTAACTGGAAGTTATTTCTGATATACCCATTGCCTTTATAGAGTCAAAACAAACCAACCAACATTAGTCTTACTTTGACAGATCTCATCTGCTGAAAGGGGTAGAAAGAACTGGCCTAGCAGATGAGATACTGGGCGGAGATTAATTCCTGTCTGAAAATGAGTAGGTCACTTTAAACTTCCTCTGCAACTCACTCATCTGCAAAGCTATGATAAAAGTGGCGTTATCCCTACCCCCCAGCTAATGACCAGAAGTTAGATAAATATAGGCTGACGTGTTCTGATGGTAAACAGAGGACCTAGGAGTACCTCTGAACAACTGGGACGCTTCTGGGCAGGCTTTGTTGGATTTAACCTCTGAATGCGGCTGGTTTCCTTTTGGCTTTTGAGGAGACTCCTATGCTGTTAATTTAGCCTGCACTTTAGAGCAGTTGTTTATGTACTGCCTTTCCCTTCAAAGCCCCTCATACACGAGCCGAGCTCCTCTCGGTGTAGAGGTGCACGGTGTACAGCCCTCCGTGGAGTGAAAGAGCAGTCATTAGCAGTACAGGTATTTAAAATGAGTTGAACACAACATCGAAATTTGAAGATGGTATTTCTAAATGAAAACCATACCACAGATTTGCCGTGCTTAGATTTAAATTACTGTTCCTCATTCAAATGATAACAGTTTGAGAGCAGTCTGCTCTTACCAGATGAACTACTGATTCAGTAATAATTCGAGAGGGTGCATCATCTTCTGAATCATCATATCCTCCTGTGCCATGGGAGGGTTACATAGCAGTACAGTCTGACTTGGCTCAGTTTTGACATTTCATGAACTGATTACCTGGTTTTACCTTTTTGTAAAGTAACTTGGATGGAAGCTATTCTTCAGACCCAGCAATGCAATTTTAGATGCTTAATAAACTGATTTGTTCCTCTCTATTTAACCGAAGATCACAATTTACACTTGGGTTTAAAAATTTGCCTCACAGTATTCAGATAACATGTATCATCGCATAAAAAGATGGCTTGAGAAAACCCTCTCTCTTCCAGGAACAGTGTGTTCCCTTCTATTGTCAGATGAAGAAATAGTATCCCTAACAAATAATATTCCAACTACATAAGTTTTGATGTGTTTTGGTTTTTTGTTTTGTTGGGTTTTTTTTAATAGAAATGTATCATTTCCTAACAGCAGCATGTGCCCATGGTGGTTTAATAATATAATTTCATATTGCACAGTACTCCTGCAGTTTTTCCTTCCATGGAAAAATGGTTTCAAAACTGGTAGTCAGGTAGTAGAAGTCAAACGGTGTCGCGATTGCCTGTCACTGATATCCAGGAAGTGGTAACTTCTGTCCTTCCTTGGCTTCAAAAAAGGTGTAAGAGAGGGTGATCAAATCAACTTTAGCCATTTTAGGGTCCTCTGCAAATTCGGGATCAATGTAGAAAAAGACGGGCATGTCCACCTCCTCTTGAGGATTTAGCCGCTGTTCTTCGAAACAAAAACACTGCACGGGGGAGGAAAAAAAAAAAAAAAAAAAAAAAAAAAAAAAAAAAAAAAAAAAAAAAACCCAAACAATTAGATAACAATAACTATGGTAAACTTCATCTCCACCAACATGAGAGAAAGCTTCATCTTTTAAAACCAACTCTCGTTCCCTGTACATCCCTAAAATCCTGGGAAGGATTAACCATATGAGCGACAAGACAGCAATTCTGTTCCTCTCGCATTACAGGAAAAAAAAATTAGCTTTTAATGAAGTGTCCAAATGCGCAAATTGGCCAGGCTAGCTCGCATCGTTACCACCTGCCCTCAAAGTCAGTGGTACTAAATATCGTGTATTTGGGAGCCAGTCTAATTGGACATGTGCTGCAGCTCGTTATGAAGACAGTAAGGCTAAGAATGAACTGATGCACTGCCGCTTGAAAAAAATCAAGGTATTTTCTTAAAATGTTGGCATACAAAGAATGGTATCCAGGATTCAAATGAGAAAAAGTTAATTTAGGGATAACGATTCTCATTCACGTAAAGGAAAATGTAATCTTTGCTTTGTTCACACTTACTTGTATTTTATTGAAATACTGTCCTGCTTCAAAGGGTATGACGTTGTAGGTAGAGATTCCAATTATTGGTTTGTCAGTAGGATTTTTTGCTTTATAAAATGCCAGTGCAGTCTCTCCTGGTACCACCTGTGTAAAGTAAGGGCATAGTGATTTTTAATCCACTGCAGTCCTCCACCCCTCAGAGTTCTTTGGACTTTAGCTAGAAGTAGTCCATTTTCTCTCTTGCTGTTTCAAGTTGGTTACTTCACTACTTCACAAATATTTTGCTTATAGACGATTCACCCGCATTCAAAATTAAAAGCATCAATAATGTTATATGTGTGCATTTTTAATCTTAACCAGTTTGCCACTGAGACTTCTATTATGCTCAGCGGTTTGGGAGCATACTAGAGCTTTTTTAATATGCAGATTTATATATGGTGTACATTTAGTTTTTGAGGTTATAATTTTTTCAGTGCTGGACTCAGAAACCAATTAAGAAGCATGGCTCCTTGTGAGTTTTTATTAAGAACTAATTTTAAACAGTAAAGTTAAATTTAAATGTTCACTTTTAAAAATATAAAAACAGTCCTACAAGGACAGGGGCAAGAAAGTACTAGGGAAGAAGTCTGGCAAAACCCTACAGGTTTAGATCTACAGCTGCACCATGTATATTTTTGAAGTATATATACACCCGCTTTATGGTGTATGTAGAATTGGTAACGCGGAAGCGCCCTGGGCTGTGGGCCCCCGCTTGTGTTCTTCCAGATCCGGGCCCAGATAAGCAAAGCCCCGGATCCGCAGGGTCAGGACCGAAGGTGAGGACGGGTCCGGGGCAAGAGCCGCCGGCCCGCCCGTGGGGGCCGGGGGAGCGTGGAGGCGAAGCCACTCACGTAGATCTCCCTCTGCTGGGGTCTGAAGCTCCACTGGAGGCTGGAATGCACGTCCGCGTTGAAAGTCACCCTGATGACCCGCTCCCTCACCGGCTCCATGCTCTCGATCTGCTCCGCGCCGTGCCCCGCGCTCGTTGTCCCGCCCAGGCCCGTGGCCTGACAGAAAGGAAAGGCGGTGAGCGACCCGCGCCGGCCCCCGCCAGCGCCTCCGTCGTCCTCGGCGGGCGGGAAGGCGCTGGCCGGGGGGCCCGGCCCCCGGGGCCGCCCGGCCCCGCTGGTGGGTCGGGGGGCCTCCAGAAGTTGCTTTTTCCATGCCTTTGTGCACGAGTGCGAGGAGTTTCCTCATCCGGCTGGCGCAGGAGGATTGCCAAGGGAAGTGAGAGGCTCCTCAAGCTGCCGCACATCGCTTAGCGGGTGGGAAAGTCACCCCCAGGACCGCAGCGATCCCCGCCGTGGGGAGGGATCCTGGAGCTGGTGTCTGGGTTGGGGGACCGCGGGTCCCAGAGCTTCATCTGCAGAGCCGGGTGCTGAGCGAGAGCTGCTTCGCTGCCCGGAGGCACTGATGTTTCATGTGACCTTATGAAAATGTTACTGGCATCTGGTTTTATTTAAGCCGAGAGATTTGATGCTCTAAAGGCGGCTGGAGGAGGGAGGAGGGGTGTTTGTCCGTGCTGGGGCTGAGTGAGGGCTTCCCCCGGGCAGACCGGGCAGCGGTCGGTGCCTCCCAGTCCTGCCTTTCCACAGCGCAGGAGCAGCGCATGGAGGTGGCGGGACTTTGGCATGGTGGTCCTCACCGGTGCCAAATCTCCTGCCCGGCTCTTCCTTGCCTGTCTCCCCGAGGAGGTGCAGGGGGGAGGAAGGAGCATCCCTGCCCGAGCCCCCTGAGCCCCTTGTTGGGCTCTGCCGCCAGTGCCTGCGTTGCGCCACGGCCCCGTGGTTGGTGCCGCTGGGGCTGGTGCGCGCCAGGGCTGGCATCGCTCTGCACAGGGTCCTGGAGGCTTTGGGTTTGTGTTTCAAATTTCAAGGGCATGAGCCATTTCCTGGAAAAAATTGACAGATTAAAGAAAAAGCAAATAACACGAATAAAGGAGAAGGATTTGATTGGGGCTTTGCTGTGAACTTTAACCGGGCTGCTGGGAGCCGGTCCAGGAACGCTTTGCTGCAGGGGAGCCTCTGCGTGAGGTGCTGATGGGAGCCCAGGGCCGGGATCCTGCGGGGACGCGGTGGGCAGGAGGCTGTGGCTCCGACCCCGCTGCCTGCCTGCTGCCTGCCTGCTGCCTGCCTGCCTGCTGCCTGCCTCGGGGCTGCGAGCGCACGGCCCGGCGCTCCCCATCTTCTGCAGGCAGCGGGCGGGCGCGGCGGTGTGAACCCTTTAACCGAGGGGGCTTCATCCCCTTGTCTTCCTGCAGCTCTCCCCGTTTTGCGGCCACTGACACCGATGATTATTTTTTTCCAGCGGTGCCTTGATTCACGTCCGGTTTCCTCTCTTTGTTTACAGGTTTGGTTTTGTTTAGGCCCAAATATTGACATGTCGCAAAGCAATTGAGCGCTGTTTGTAAACAGCGGTAAGGTCAGGGCAGGCGAGGTCAGACAACTTCCCGCGCACTGTAACAAACTTCTCTTGTTGTGGAAACAAGCGCGTGAATTTACTGCGTTAGAGCAGTGCCCTTCTCTTGCGCTGGCTCCAGTAACGTGAATCACCCAGTGACTTTGGCAGCTCCTGATGCTGCCTCATTTTTGCATTCAGTTGTATTGAGTAAGAGAATGATAAAGGCCGGGGTAAAGCAATATTGTGGCCTTTCCTCTGTAGTTAGATGGCCTTATTTTTGATCCTTTAGCAAGAGAGCTGAAAACATATACTGCAGGAAAATTTGTGGTGTTCCAAAGGGAGTTTAATACTTTTTTCCTACAGAAACACATAACCTGATGAATTGGTCAGTGTGTTTTTGTGGAGGCTGACGCCGCACCTAGGGAGCCTACTTTGTTTTAGCCCAGGTTTGTAGCACGTCACTGGTGCCAGCAGCACCTGTTGCCAACTTCTGCCTGTGCCTTGTTCAGGGAGTTCCCTGTCCCCCTTGTCCCGTGTCTTTGCAGTAATACCTTTTCTGGTTCGTGGCCGTGTGAGGCTTTAGCCGTACAGCTCTTGAGGTCAGGAAGATTTGCTACTGATACAAACAGATATTTTTGCATTAGGGCTTTTGCAGTAATTTTTCAAATGATTGTAGCTCAGTACATTTAGGGTTGTATTTCTGGTCAACCTGTCGTATGAGCTAATAAAAATATAATGTGAATTACTGGGGTTTTTGCTACATTAGTGGTCCATAACCCCATTTTGCATGCCTTTTGGCCTACGTCTTGCATACTTCACATGAGAATTCCATAGGCACTGAATACTAGACAGTAAGTTAAAAAAAAGTGAGAAAACAAGACGCGCACCTTATCATGTTCAAAACAACATTCCCTCCCCAAGTAACCTTCACTGGAAAAAAAGGAGATTGTTTTTGTCATTAGCAGTTACATTACTTTATCCTGGAATTGTAATGTCAGTTACTTCATTTTTTGGAAGATTTTAATCACAGGGGATTCAGGTTTACCCTAATTCCCCCCTTATAAATTAAGAGGAAATTAGAATGTCGGATGTTTTGGTACAATATACAGTGAAGTCTGAGTTGTTAACTGCTTACTGTTTTCAGCAATTAAGTGTATCTGTTTTATCATGAAAGTTCTCTTTTCCCACTTGACTTCAGCTAGTGAGTAATAAATAAGAATCGTTGTCAGTGTCTGAAAATAAACATAGCCATGTACATTTCAAAAAGTGGTTTCTCCTTTTTTACAGCAATTATTATCTTGATTGCGAGCCACTGCTTCGTGTGTCAGAATTCTTCATTTTGAACTTTTATTAAAATAGTGCACCTACGAAGATGTCCAGTACAGATCCCCTAACAAATACAGATAAAAAGTAAGTACTTTTTTTTTCCCCACAGACAAGAATACAACAAATGCTGGATTGTAATATGAAAATTCTTGCTGTTTCATTAGTAAGATCTTGTTTTGATGAAGTCTTAAAGACAAATAACTTTGATATTGAAACAGTCTGAGGCAACGTTCTAGAAAAACTTACACCACACCAGTGAATTTACACATAAAGGGAAGAAATAGCTCTTAAGGTTTTCATTAAGTTAATCAGCACTTGGTTTGGACTGGTTCTGTAGAGATAAAACCCCACATAGAAATTCCTTAATGCTTCTGCAGCTATGAAAACATACTTGTAAGGTATATAGCAAATTACTTCCTTGTACACACAGGGTAACTGCAGTAACATAAGACCGTATGGAGTTCATGTATTCTAATGCATTACTTTTTCAGAATGCGATGTCTGCATGCCTTTAATGTTTTATATGTAGTGCTTTGAAACCATCTTATTTTTTACCAATGCCATGGGATATATAATGATAATTATATTCATTCTATAAACTGTAATGTTATCCACTTAAAAGTTGGATCAGATTCTAAATGGCAAACTTGGATTCAGTCGTGATTGAAAGTCGTAACTCCAGCCCCTTCCCAGACTGCTAAGTAACCATACCAACGCTGTCATCAACACCATAATTAAAAACAGGCACAGACAGCTCTCTCTGGACTATCATGGTTGCTGCGCTTGTGCAATAGAATTGAGCAAATACTGTTCAAAAGTATCGCCAAACAATTTAGTATAGATTTTGAATTACGGCACTTCGTAAATAACTTGATGTTGAAAAACAAATCCGCAAAACATTAAAAAAATTAACTTGCTTTTTCCTGGGATCTGAAGAAGTAAGTACTCTGCTTGCCCAATGGAAATACAGAGTATGTAATACAAAGATACATCTTTAAAACAGCCAAGGCTTGCTAGATTCACGCAGAAGGTATATTATATGAATGATTACTAGATCACTGTATTCCAAAGGCATTTTTTCACACAGGAGATGAACATGAAAGGTGCATATAACTGCACTTCGGCTACATGATGATGGAAGACTGTAATTTTCTATACTTATTTTTTTTCTGGGAGACAGTATCAATGCACAATGCTTCAAGAATGTACTTGGTTATATGTTAATTGAAGTTTACCTAAACTTTAAATGATACCTTTCTTTTCTACACAAGGGGTTAGCCTCAAACCATTCATACTTCTCCACAATTACAATGTTGCTCAAGCTTTTTTTTCATGTTTAACAGTTACCATATAATGACATATGTTTTCTTTTAATCTTTATGACCTAATCAGCAAAATGGTTTTTGAATAACTAGTAGGTTTGGACAGATCAGAAGTGAGTGTGTGTTCATGCTATACGATCCAGCGTTCTCTTGGCTGTGGTCCTTAGTGTCATGATGAATTTGTACCTTTTAGGGTTAGCGAACCTGAAATGCTACAGTTGCATAATTGACTTGTACAGGATTTTTGTAAAAGTCCTTTGTTTTATTTATAACAAAAAGATGTTGAGAATCTTGCTTCCGAAGATTCTGCAAATCTTTTTGTCATCTGCTAAATTACCTTGTAATTCATCTCAGTTGCTAAAGCATTACAAAACTTCCTTTGGGAAAGGTGAGTCATAATTAATAATGTTGCCAGAATAGAAAAGTTTACTAGCTGTTTGAAAAAGAATCTTTGTTTGCTGCGTAAAATAACAAATGATGTCTCTTGAAAATTTAGTCTTACATACTGAGACTAGGTTTTATGGGGTTTTAAGTTGTTACAGTATTCCTAGAGCTTTCTGGATGTAAGAGGTAACTTGTGTTCCCCTGAGCATATTCTTGAAAGGCAGAGAACTTGCAAATGAAGCAATAACACCGTTTGTCTATGCGAGTCCTTTAGAAACATTAAAAGCAGCACAGCGGCAGAATTTTAGGTAAGGAGGGACAGAAGCCTTGGCGATGAGTTCAGGAAGCTGAACAAGGTGTTTACTTTGAAGAAGGGATGGAGGAGCAATTTTTGAACAAGTGATGTATTACTGATAATAACTCTAATAAAAAGAGGTGGGAGCAATAAGAAGCTTAATACTACTTTATATCTGCTTTAATTGTTGGGAAGTTTGTCATGCCTGGTTTAATAAAAATAATTTTTTGCTTTTTAATAATGGAAATGCATGGCCTTGAGTCATACTTTTAATTGGGGGGGTGTGGGGGGAGCGTGTGTTTCTGTTGCAGAAAACACGACACTGGATACAAGCTGTATGGGTCTGAGTGATTTGTTTTGACAAATGTTCCTGACACCGATGCCACAAATTGAATTCCACTGCCATTAAGAACAGTGACAATTTTGTTGGAGAAAGGCTATTGGTGTTTTATCTTCTGTAACCTTGCCTGGAGCACACTAATTGATATGATGCTTAAAATATCAATGGCTTTTCTTTCATCGGACTGTAACGCCAGTAACACCAGCAGAGTTAAACTGATTGAGAAGAGACTACAGAGGGCCAAATTTTCATCACGGGATGGCTGTGAGCAAGCCAAATGATGCCAGTGTCGCTCTTCACATCTGGGGAATGGGGAAGGCTGCTTTATGTTCCCGCTTCCATCGCTGATCGGCTCCTTGGTCTGTGGTGGTCACTTTATTCTGCCCCTCGTGTGTGTGTAGCTCGCAGGCTCTGGGGACTGACCTCGGTGTATGTGGACACGACATAGCGTGTTGCCTATAAGCAAAAAGATCCTTTCCCCAGGAACAATTTCGTGCTAATGAAACCACAGTCACTACAACTTTAAAAAAAAAAAAAAAAGGTGCATGAGATAAGCATATGCCTTCCTCGCTTCGCCAGGCTGGCCTGCTGTGCAGCTCTAGACGCTGACGGATGCTGTCTCATCAGAGGGTTATTCCCTGCTTTAGAGGATTCACCTTTCTACTTAAACAAAGCCCTCAGTGAACACAGTATATTTAATTTTCATTTTAAATTGTAATCTTTTTAAGATCTTTTAGAAAGAGGGGGAGTAACAGGAGT